ACCCTCTACGAAATGGGCTTCAGGGAGAGAGACCTTCTTGACCAGCAGCAGGTCAACAGGGTGAGCCTCAAAACGGTAAGCATAGAAACCTGTTTCTTTACTGTGAAAATACAGACTAAAAGAGAGGTTGTTACAAACCCTAAACACAACCATTCCAGTCACTTGTTGAGGAGGTTTTGTGTATCTGCTGCGTTTTATATGTTAACTTCTCCTTACTGAGAGGTACAACACTGCACTGCTTAATGAATCTACAGTTCAAGGAGAGTGTCAAGCCCAAGATGGTACACATGGTGCCACCAAACTTCATCAATGGGCTTGAGGCAGCCTTTGAGGCGGTTGCCAACCCAAACCCCCGGAAGAGGAAGAACAGCTGGGATAGCCAAGAAGGAGATGGGGACGACGGTGAACGTGATGGCACCAAGGCTGCATCAGGAAGTGGGACTTCACAGGGTGTGCAGCGTGCCAAGAGGTACATCCTGGAGAAGTTGTACAAGTTGTTGGAAATGACCGACACTCATATACCAGTGAATGGTAGCCACAGTAATAGGACCCAACGGGGGTCCGGCGCTTTGCTGGTCTTAACAGGTTATGAGCCCCGAATGGCGCATTGCGCTGCCGAGAGGTCGCCGGATCGATACCCACTGGCTGTTGCCCAGAGAATGGGAGACCGGGATGAGGCACGGGAAGTCCCGGAGCGAGAGAGTGTCGCTCACGGGGGGGTGTTGGAAATGACCGACACTCATATACCAGTGAATGGTAGCCACAGTAATAGGACCCAACGGGGGTCCGGCGCTTTGCTGGTCTTAACACAAGTTCTTCGATCCAGTCCTGAAGGACTTCAATTCAGCATCCAAGATCTACTTGGAAGTGGTAAGTTAGGGGCAGGGTTGAATTATTCATATTTGAAAGACTGTCACTCAATACTCATGGGTGCTCATGCTTGATTACAGACCGAAAAGGAGATTGAGGACTTCATGGTTACGCTGGGTGGGCGAGACAGAACCGTGGCTGGCTTCCACTTGGACTCTGAAGCAACCGACGAGGACATACATGCACGTGTCCGGAAGTCCCTGGTTGAGAGATGGAACAACCGCAAGAAGTGGATTGGAAATCTACAGCAGCAGGCCAATGTGGAGGGCGAGTACTAAGAGTACTTTGGAAATTATATTTTGAAATTGTTTTGGGTTGGGGGGATTCAATGTCCTGCTACTGTGTATGCTGCAAATCCATTCTAGCCCTAATTTGTAAATGCAGAGATAAGAGGAGAGACGTAGTTATAGTTTGGGGTTATTGGATTTTCAAAACCCTAGTATTGAAACCTCAAATATGCATACCATGAAACATACATGCCTGCATACATCAAACATGCAGCTGAAGACCTTACTAACCATTACATATGTGCATGCCTTGCCAGCAGATGCTTTGAGATTCAACTCCTTTGGAGCTGACGAAGAGGAGTTTGAGAAGTACCAGTCTTCACAGTCGCACCTGGAATACTTGCAGAAGAGCTTAGGGCCTCTAAACAATGAAGATGACAAGTTCGTCTTCATTGTCGAGGGCAAGGACAGTCCTGTGCTCTTAGCTGGCGGTGTGGTCTTTGGCAGTCTTGTAAGTTAATTAGGCTTGATGTTTCTTCACAAGAATGGCC